GCAGAGGAGGTTGTCTTTGCTTTTTAAACGAGCACACGCTAATCATTTTAGATAGGTTGAACCTTAAAACATTATTTGCTCTTTCAGTACCTGTACCCCTCTGCGTAAACCACGAATAACCACTCTAAGCTCGCTAGGCCACCGGTTTGTATAATATACACAGAGGTTTCTAACAAGAATGTGTCCATTTTCGGTACTCGTCCGAAGAGACTACATTCACACGAATTTGTGTCTTAGGACTATGGACTTTTTTATATCTATTTTGTATTAGATAATATATTGTTTAACAAATTCCCAAGATAGTTTGTTACAAATTTTATTCGAAGGTCACTATTAATTTTAAGCTGGTTACTCTTAGGAAACTTATTATCATAAACGTTATTATTATCAAAACTGTTGTCATTATTAGTTTTTGTATTATTAATACTATAAGTAGTTTACTATCATTAGTGTTGTTACCACGACTAGTATAGTTTTATCCCACTTAATATGACCTTGGAAAATGTTTAACAACTTGATTAAGCTTATTATTAAAGATATTGGTTTTGTATTTATTAAAATGTTTACTATTATCAGCACTACTATTACTATAGATTTTAATCTCAATATTTTAACTGTGGTTACAACTATTATTATTTTATAATTAGTGTTGTTGTTATGTTTAAATACGCCTATCTATCAAATCTACTTTGGTCTCCACCATAACGTTGCCTTCGATAACCTCCTCCTTATAAAAGGTTCATCTAGAAGCTGGAGGGTCGAATAAAGATTGTTATTAATTCATCTTTTATAGTAATTGACCCAAAAGGTTCCTTTTCTTGACGCAACCTACTTTTTACAAGTAAACTAATTTTGTTTTTAAAGCCTCTACTTCTTTTCTAAATTCATCTCATCATCCAACAATTTAGTAATATTAAATCGCTGACTAGCAGTACCGCCACATCCAAAAACGGCAAGCGCGAGCCAAGGAGTCTCGATTCACGTTTTTGTGACCGCACTTTGTAGAACAAAAAAATTATTACATAAAACGAAATTTCCTTCCCTCCCCTAAAAAAGACCATGTCGGTAAGAGGAAAAAGCAAGCAAAGAACAGTGTTAAATTTTATTCTACTTTACCACTGGAGACACATGAGATTAATTATCACCACGTAAATGGATAGTAATAAATTGTTCTATAATAGTGTTATATAACAGAAGTCATGTAACAAATAGCGAGCAGTTTTTAAAATTAAGAGGTACACACAAGTCATCAAAATAATTTATTTATTTAGTTCCATTGTTTATTGCTAAAGCACGATTGCTTCATGATGCTTTATAATGCTTTCGGATGCTTTATAATATGCAAAAGTACTGTGAAGGAAAATAGGAAAAATATAACATGAAACCTGTTGTGGCTTATCGTTTTGTAGTACATTTTTCATACTAACTATGTCATGGCAGAATTACCGATTTTTAACTCGCTATAAATTTTTATGGTGAAATCTCTTGTGAAGACCTTAGCAGTTAAACTTCAACACCGAATAAAATAATACTTTTTAGTTATATAAGACTAATTTAGCAAGATATCACTAAAGCCCCCTTTAATCTATTACTTTAAGCCAGGTTAAATTAACATTAAAGCGCTAATGTTAGCTCGAAAAGTTTTTTCATTGTAAGGTAAAGCACAAAAATTCACATAGGTTTGTCATTATTACTAGGAAGTTTTACTAAAATATAGAATTAGCTACCATTACCGTGCCAGTAACCAGTAAAAATTACTTAGGTTTTATTCTAGCTAAAAACCAGTATTTCAAGGGGTATTTTAAATCTCCTTTTCATATAGTGTACCATAAGCGTGAAGTCGATAAGTTCCCCCTTCGTAAAGGGAAATAAGAGATTGTAAACTAATTGATCTTTATTTATTGACCTATGGGTCAGTATGGTCATATTATTACGACCATAAGATAGATGACAAGGGATTTAATCATAATTATAGCGAGCTAAAAATCGGAAATTCTGCCAAGACGTAATTAGTATGAAAAAATGTACTACTAAAAGTTAGGCCACAAGAGGTTTCATGTTATATTTCCTATTTTCCTTCACAGTACTTTTGCATATAAAGCATCCGTAAGCATTATAAAGCCTCATGAAGCAATCGTGCTTTAGCAATAAGCAATGGAACTAAATAAATAAATTGAAACCTTTGGGATTTACTAAGTCCCCTGTTGGGATTGATTACAGATGCTGTCTCACCAACTTAAAACTAGTTTAAACTAAAAATAACAGAACATGATATATTATAATTTGACATAACATAACTTAACAATCATATAACATGATAAAACGCAGTAGAACATGTCACAGAATTAGATGGAATGGTAAAGTAAAAACGAATAGAAATACATTAAATAAAATCAATTAAATATAAATAGATCTGATTTAAACTAGAATAAAATTAACTTAACTTGAATACAATTAAACTTTCTGAGTATCCAGTCAAACTTTAGCTAAAATGTGTCAAAACTGATAATAAATAAGCTAAATTGATCTCTAATTGACAGAAAATGAGCCATAAATGACGCAAAATTAGCCAAATTAAGCAAAAACAGCCTGAATTTAGTAAAATCTGACAACTCACATAGTAATTCACAATGGTAAGACATGAAATATAACCTGGAAATAATATCAATATCTATAACAGTTAACTAACGTCGACGAAAGTTAAATAAACTTAGATTATTCTAACTGACTATAATCTTTATAGGCTTCTTACAGCTAGTAATTGCGAATGAAAGCTATACAGGCAGAAACTTGCTAAAGGAGTGAAGACAAATAGCACTATGTCCCATTCCTCGATCCCTCGTGCAGTAAAATGCCTGCTTAAATCTAAACAAGAACCACATAATGAGTGAGGACAGATAGTACTATTACTCTAATCCAGAGCTATTGTCACAACCAAAAAATTATCATAAAGGTTGGCTAAAATCAAGGTTGTAACAGAGCCTCTTTTTATAGAAATGGATATTCTCTCTATCAATAGATGCAGCAATAGCGCTATCTACCAGTATTATATATAAGCCGATCAAAGCCTTTGGTTACAAAGCAATTTAGCACACTACTATTCATTATTTAGAAGAAGTCTAAAAATTTGTTTTCCTTAGTTTTTTTCCGAGCTCGACAGTTTAACCGTCGAAGTGACTTGGCACCCAAACTATCTCGCTCCTCCGTCTGGTACGGATACTCACGAAAGTTAATCCTGATAAAAGCGTATTAAACGTTTTTTACCTTTAATATTCATTAATCTCCTAGAAGTAGCCGACATAAGATTTTAAAACTGCCGATAATTTCTTATTAACAAGTCCCTATTAAAGAATTGCGCAAAAGCAACTGGCCATCACTGTCAATTGTTAGGGTCCCAGTGCAAGCTTTCCGCTATTTAGCTCTGCAGAGCTAAGTGCCGTGAGTGAAGACAAAGTCACACGCCAGAGGTTGGCGTTAGCGATTGAATCTACCTCTATTAATTTATTGAGAATTATAGAAAGCAAGTGTGGTTGCCACTACTTTTTGCGAGACTAAGGTGTAGACAAAACGAAATTTCTTGTTGATGATGAAAAATAACTCGAGCTGGCTATCATAATCGAGATTAAAAAGCTTGCTTTATTGAGAAGGAGGACACTCATCTCTAACAGTCTCACCGTGCTGCTAAAGCTAATGCAACAGCGGCAACGGGAAAATTACGCAACCTCTTATATTCGACGGTGAACTTCGGCTCCTTTTCGCTGGGGCTGAAGGCGATTCTTAATGTGGTGCTCTTGAAGACACCGGGATCAACCTCTACACCAAAGAAATAATGGCCTATTAAACTTCATGAATTTTACTGTAACCATCTTATTGTGTCCTTAATAAAGTTTATGGACACAACGTAAGTGCTGCCAGCGTCCCACTTCATATTTTGGCAAAGGCAATTAACACGCAACAGCTCCTTCTGACAAAATAGACAATCAGTGTTTCCATTTCCAAAAAAAAAATGCCAATGCGTCACTGTTCTTTTTATCGAAAAAGCGTCTAGTGAAGTTTAGCACAAGCACTTTCTTTACTAATTACGCACCATAGCCCTTTTTCTTGTTTCTTACGTTATATTTTACCTAATTTTACCTAACGAACCGTACACTTTATATACATGTGGGTGATGCATCTTCGCCCGTGAACTACTAAGAGTGGGGGTTTTATAAGGATTAATTCCAGCTAACGAGTTATATAGCTAAAACCATCATACTGGGATTGAAAGTGGCCGTCGTACCTCAGCAGTTAAGGGCATTGACGCACAAACACTAAGTTGTGAGTTTGTTTCCCATCAACGCCTCCCTCTTTTTTGGATGAATTTACGTATGTCGTGTCTTTGCATAGTTTCTATCGGGTCAGGGGCTTCAGTCAATCGTTATTCCCTCAAGCTGGGGTTCTTTAGCCGATCTAGGTGCCTTTAAGTTTAGCCCATGACAGAGCGTTAACAGAATTGTTTAAGGGCGAAGTTCAGTACGCAACCATCAAAGACCCGAAAGAGCACACATTTAAACTTGCTTTTCAGTATTAAATCCTGTATGAAGAACAAAAAAGAGCAATAGTGTATCTTGAACGGCATGTTTTTGGGTTTCCCCATAATATAGTAAAAGTTGTGTCAATTAAAAATATTATGCCTATTTCATTGTCGGTTTGCTAGTGTAGTGAACTGACCGATTTGTTGGTTAGAAGTTAATTACTTAGCATGGTGTAATACAGGGTTAATCATCAATACATAATTATTGACCCGAAATGATTCTATTTTTTACCACCTAGATTTACGTCAAATTTTTTTTAAATATAGTAACTTTAAGTTATACGGATTACTTAGCTGCATTTTTTATTGTGAGTCTCCTCTGAGGTTTAAACGTACACGCAAAGCAAAACACATGGTTTTGTGGCCTCCCTAAGAAATTTGCTTTATTCGTTGTAAGCTTTGTTTTATACTCTAAGCAAATTACTCAGGGCCCTTTTAATAGTTTTTTGGCTTGTTTATGGAGGAAAACTTGAAGACACTGTATAAATTTAATTAGAAGTTGTATAGTGAAAGTTAAAATTTTATTTAACTTTAGATCTAAAGGTAAAGTTATAGATTTTTCCGCACTTTCAAGTTTTTTGTTACCACGAAGCTCTAAAAAGGTTAGTTTAATAATGGGGTAATATTATTAATTTTTTTAGTAATTACCTTTTATCATTTTAATATTATAAGGTAAAGATTCAAAAGCATGAAAAAAGTGATTTTTACAGGTTTAGTACTTGTCTTATATTGCCGGTGACCATTACTTAAAAAGTCTTAATAGCAAGTCGTTGAGTAACCTTGAGTTTAAAAAAGGGAGAAGAGAGGTGGCAACTTTGGGTGCTATTATATTATTTCTCATATATTTACTCTTTTCTTTATTAATTTATTTACTGTTGTCTATCTTATTTTTCTAATTAAAGTTTTAACAATTTAAAGGGATCTCCGGTTTTTCAAAAAAGTTGAGAAAGTCTTATAACATCGAAAAGATCGGAAAACTCTGTGGACAAGTAGATTTTACTATTTTTTGGTCAATCTATGTGCATAACAATTTTTTAAAGCCCCCTACGAAAGTTAAAATGCCTATATATATACTAAATGGTATTAGAAAGAAACAAAAAAGGAAACTTATTAAGCAAAAGGAGGAGGTCGGATTTACCTAAATATAGTTTTCTGTAACATATGTAAGTTTTATTATATAAAGGAGCAATGTAGCAACAGTTACATAAAGCGTAAAGTTAGTCTTAAAAAAAAAAGGACTGTAGGGGCCAACTTTAGGTTTAAAGGTGCTCTGTTTTCTTTTTTTTTTGTCGTTATTTTTTAGATGTTTTTGATTCAGGTTATAATTTTGACTCTTTTGCTGGAAAGTTCTATAAGGGTACTTTACACATAAATCCCTCTTTATTAAATAATAGAAGAAAGCGGCGCACTACTCGGTAGTGCGGGCATTCTGCCATTGTGTTATCGTTCTAGCTATAATCAATATGTAAATAATCAACTTCGAAGAGTTATTTGAATAAAACTTATTAGATACTAATTTTCTACTTTATATTATATAAGCATTACCTGCAACTCGTTATTGTTAAATTACGGTTTACTTTATTATTCTATTGTTTGTTGACAGAGGTATACGAGAGAACATTTAATAAACTTACATATTAGAGGAATTTTTAAGGTTTTTATTTAGTACATTTCAAGAAAATAGGAAAATAAATTCTTAATAGAAAATAATATAACTGCATACTTCGAAGGAAAGAGCTGTTGGAGGTGTTTTAAAAATCTAGGATTTTTAGTTTGAGATTTGCACTGTATTGTTTAGCTCTTTTTTACGCCTTAAGGTAAAACGGTATGCTGTTATAGAGTATTTCTTGTTCCCTTTACAAGGCCAAAACTTATAAACGAGTTAAGACGTTATGAGGTATTGGAGAATAGTAGAGAGATTTAGAATTGTGTTAAAAATTTAAAGTTTATTGTTGTCAGCTAAGTTTGTCCAGGGTATAACCTTGTTATGTTTGGAACTAAAGGATTGCGACGGGCAAGTCGTGCAATGAGCTCAGATAGCAAAAACTAAAGAAAGAATATTAGTTTAGGTGCAGTCCGGCCCATCAGAGTCCACGCCCTCGTTCATGCGTAGCCCCGGGCGTGTATGCTGTGGTGTAAACTGTTGCTTTACGTACTTTATTTGCTTTTAAGCGGGAAATGAAGGAGGCATTTTCAGTTGGTTAGTAACATCAGCCTAAGTTGCTCTCAGCGGTTAGAAGCAATACGCGTAGACTAAAGGCCTGACGGTCGCATAAGTACTCTCGCTGTAAAGATTTTGATAGATGCTTTTATAAGTTGTGCATGAGCACTAACAAATATTATTTGGCCCACCGACCCTTTGGCGCCGTACTAATATTGGTATGAAAAGTAACATTATACCTAACTACTGTTTGCAGTTCAGAAGATTTAGGTTTTAGTAGCAGAGAATAGTTATAATGTTAATAAAACTCGGACATGTGAAGTAAAAAATTGAATAACACAACTAGTGAAGAAGTTATACAGTAGGGTTTCATCGAAATTTGGTCTAAATTTTCACATTTTTCTTTTTACACATGTAACTGACTTACCGTATTATAAATAAGAGCGTTGGCACTATTTAACCTGTTTAAGTGTGCTTATTGTGTAATAGTAGCACTGAAGCCATCAGCGAGCGGGAAATAGAATCGAGAGAAAACAGCTATTCTTAATAAAGGCTTGTCCCTTATAACGTGTAGTAAGTAAATTACCCAATTTATATTTTCCTATTAACTGCCAATTTTTTATGTATAGTAGTAAGGAAATTATAAAAAAGCTCTTGTGGCTTTAAGCTACTTTAGTCCCTTTCCCTCTTAAAACGCTGCATCTACTTAAATCGGAATATCATATCGGGTGTGGCAGTCACGCACATGAAAAACCAGTATCAATTATGATAGCTAGCAATACCGCTATACAGACCTCTTCTACCTCTAATAATAATAAAAAACACATATAGACTTTTGCAAAGGTCAGAAGTATTTATTATATAGTTATTACACGGTCCGTAATAAAAAAAAATTGGCGGTATAATTTTAACTGTGAAAACCGAAAAAAGCGTTAGGCGGTAAAGTATCCTATATGGAATAATAAGATAAGAAAATTCATCAATGTAGAACGATAAAGATGACTAACTTTTTTGGAGCTAAAGAGGTAAAGTGCCTGTTCAAGCTGCCAATTAGCACCTTTTAAACATAGAATGGCGTATTCCATGGTGAGACGGGTGTTCTTCATCAAAGCGCGAACCAGATTATACCTACGCAGCAATGGAAGTGTGCATCGAACGAATAATAAAACCAAGCAAGGAACCTCTCACAAGAGAGATTATAATCAAAATTAAATTCTTGCAGGAAAGCCAAAGCTTCTTCTCTAGACACCCTGAAGTCCTCTAGAAACTTCTCCACCATCTGCTTCTGTTTAGAAGTTAAAGGGGTCGGACCAGCCTCACCCGAAGCCGTCAGTTGGGGATCGGCCTGTCTATTGGCTACATGCGGAACGACGATAAACATATCGTGCGAAATCTGAAACGCGCCGCTGATTAACTGGAGCAGCGTGAACAGCCTTGTGAAGTCGTACTTATAGATCTTCTCTATGACACGCGCAGATTAATTTGTTATCTACGCTTTGCCCATTCAAAACTCACGCGTCTTATCGTCTAATTCTTCAAACGTCCCAGCCACGTGGACAAATAGGGAGGCAGGTTGACCAGGGATCTGGTGAAGATCGACAAGAAACCCGCTTCGGTCGTGTTTCGTTTTGCACTGATTGGCAAGATAATGGATGACGTTAAGCTTTTTCTCAAGTGATCGCGAATGTTCTGCAGGCTGACATCTTAATTCTGGCGAAAAGCACAAGTAATAACCTCGGGCGACCACTTCCATTGGAGTGAACTCGTATAAAGGTAAGTTTAGCTTCCGGAGCGTAAGCTTCCAACAACTGCTGGCGATCATCCTTATTATCAGCGTCGTAGATATTATAGTACCTGCCACGGAAAATAAAGTGATTAATAAAAGCATTAAAAAAAATTAACAATATACAAATTTAAGAATTCAAGGACAGAGTGTGGAGTAATTTCTACTTGAGCATAAAAAGGATTAGAAGGAGGAAAGCCTACGCGAGCAGGATTTCCTAAAAGTTTAAGTTAGACGAATTAGTATACGCATACTTTGTATATATACTTCTACCAAAATTAACTTCACTAGAAAACTTCGTGGCTGTTTTTTCAATATCTTTCAAAAACTATTAGAAATACGTATGCCTGAAAACCGAATAGTACCTTTCGCCGGCCGGACGTACATAGTCAGCTTTAAGTATATACCATTAAATTACTTAAATAAATATTGTATACTCACCTAAAAATTTAACTTTGAAAAAAAAAACTAACTGACGACACAATAATTAAAAGTAAATATAATAAGAGAAGATAAAGTGAGCTCCCTTAAGCTTTTAATTGCATTTTTGAAACGGTTAATATAATGAAACTTATTCAAACTATTAAGTGAAAGGGATGCCTCTTACTATGTTTGCACCGAGTCGCTTTCTTTTAAGCCTTAAAATTAAGTCAACGCCCTCTTGGTTAGTATTTAACAAACAATTTTTCGTATTTGGTCTTTTCACATTTTTTTCAGAAAAACGGAACTAATAACAAAAATAATATTAATAGAAAACCTAATTAACACTCAAGTAAAACAATATACGTTAGCAAAATTAATTTCGGGGCTTCCTTCTTTATGAAGCCAACTAATAAATTCTTCTTTCTCAAGATTTAGGGGAACACCGAAAATCTATTGTAAATATCTGTAAAATGGGTAACTTTATTATTTAATAAGTAATAAGTACAGTGACTAAAAATATTCCATCTTTATTATTTGATATAGGTTTACTGCTTTTTCCACTGTAAATTTTTGTCGAGTCTCCTGAGCTTATTCTAGATAAAATTTTACGAGAGCTTAGATTATGTGTGCGTGAAGAAGAGTCTTGTCCGTCTAAATATGAGTTAAAAGTCAAATATAAACTTAAATAAACTTAATTGAAGTTAAAAATTTTAATCTACTAAAGAAAACCATTTATGTTAGTAGGAGGGTAAAAATCACTATGAGTTGACGAAAAAGAGTTAAACATGTATGATGCGTTGATCCTTCTGACCTTTATAAACCTTTGTTCATATAAATATGCTTCTGTTATAACCTTTTCTCTTTTGATATATATATGTTAGCAAGCTTAATTAAGCAAAATATTTAAAAAATAGAGTTAAAAATAGATTAAAAAAAATACCACGCATTACAAGGATCAACGATAATACTTAAGTTATTATAAATATGTTAACAACAATAAATTCTTCCTCAAGGGCTGCGGTGACGCAACCCTATACTAATTTATTAGCTTCTGAGCAGACCACGTTTTTAAGTACATATAACCGTCTTTCCCGGGGGTGGTGTCTAGCAATTTTCCACTCCACGAGGCCAAATGGGAGGGATCTAAGCTCAATCTATTCCACATTTTTCTGGGCCTTTGGGACAGCCATAAAACCCTTCAAGAGCATACTATGGTGGGTACTCGTGCTCCAACCTTTTTTATAGGAGGGGTTTACAGATTAAGCGGTTTGCGATTTTTTTAAAGCTCGGCCGTAGGTGCCAGTGCCAAAAAAACTTAAAGAAACCAAAGGCACTTTCGGTTAGAATTTATGAGGGCGGGTTTAACACGCTACCACCAAAGACCGGAGAAAAGAGTGGAGTAGGTGAGATTTAAACCTATGACCTTGGCCTGCTGAGGTACGATGATAGCTTCAAACTTCGTGTGACGGCTTTACGTAACCTGTTAACCTCCCATCTCGGTTGTTGAAAGCCTAACAGTCGGGTGCGTGGCTCAGCACAATCACCTATTTTGTTCTCAGCACACAATAAACAGACTAAATAACTTGAATATTGATTGTCAGGAATTTATAACAAATGATTGCCCATATATATAAGGATTTCACTTTTTAAAATAAGTAAATTTAGCAGTCTTCCTCATTGGAGCTCGTGATTAATTACCTTTGTAATTTGTTGGTACATGATTGAAAACTGTTTATGGTAATATTAGCCACGTGTATCTATTAATTAGTAACATGGATGTGAATATAGATAGCATACCCCCGTAGGAGGTGTAAAATTTTCTGCCCTGATTCTTGCGTGGGATGTGTCGTATGGCAGCCTGACTCTCGTGTTATACACACAGTTTGCCTAATAAATTTTTTATACATTTATTCCTACCTTGAGTATACTTATATTTACACTTTTATTGCCACTAGGAATAACACGAATGCAAAAAATATATTTGTAGGATCTTTAATTTCCATGTTGGTAAATTATAATTATATTTTAAAGACTTGTTCTGTGTGATGTGAAAATATACTTGTAAAGTTTTGAATTTGTAAGTTAAAGTTTGAACATCTTTTTTTCTGTCTAAATTGTTTTCTACAATTTTAAATATTAAAAATTGTACTCATTATATAATAGCTGTATAGATTTGTGTAAGCGTATGTCAAAATATAAAAATTATTTTACCAAGTTTTTATATAGACATCCTATTTATTAACTTTTTAAAATAATTGTGACGGGTGTAGGAGAGCTATTATATTGAACAAAAATAAGCTTTAAAACAGTGATTTAAAAGTGCTTTTTTTCCACTTAAACTTTTAATAAATAGGTTTGGTGTAAAAAGTTTACTTTCTTCGTCGCTCAAGACCTTTATAAAACACACATGCAAGCCAAGCTGTTCCTTTTTTTCCTTCTCATTCTACGGCCGCTCGCTCATTAAAAGGATTTTAAACCGCTTAATCCGTCATATCCCTCTAATATTTTATTGTAAGAAAATACATGAAAAATATAAGAATGATATATATATATTAATACAAAAAATAAGTAAAAATCCGAAGAGGAATATAGAATACAGCTTGAGGGCTTTTATTGATGTCTTTGCGGATGCTCGGAAAGTCGAGCGTAGACTAACAAAAGTTGTATACGTAAAATTTAGTGACTGAAGATATGAGTCTTCACTGAAGCTAGTGATTAGAGCATTGTTGCGCACCTTCAAGGCCGCGGGTTCGATCCCCCACGGTGCCAACTCGCATTTTTCTGGTCTCGGGTTTACGTGTGCAACTTACCTACAGACAAAATTCTGATACAAACCGCTTGGTCTTGATTGATTGCGGCAGTTTATCTCTGAAAAGAGTATCATGCCTGTACTTATTTAGGGTAAGCACAGTACTTAGTAGCTTCCGTGGTCGCCCATCAGCAGTACTTTCCGAATTCCCGAAAATTTGACTTCTCAGCTTGGACAGGGTGAAGTGCATCACTCATAACAAGTTTACATTTATATATATATGTATATTAGAAATAGACTTAAGCTTAGTTACCTCTTGTAAAACCTTTGAGTCAAAACTATTAAGTCCCTATTAATAACCCTCCCCCCACAATTGGACTTTACTCTCACTACAGAGGGCTGGTTACTTAAAATGGAATAAAGAGAAAAAGGATAAGGGGGTTGTCTTTTAATCATTTATTTACTTATCTACTACTACTGACATATTAGAGTCGTATAGAAAAGTACATCTTTACTGCTTAATCCCTATTCTCCGCTTAAACTATAAGAGAGGTAAAGAAGAATCCAGTACCCTCTAATAGTCGTTATTCTCTAAGTTCGCGTACCGGCTCATGGGCTGTTATAAGAAAAAAAGGTGTAAACAGTCACTCCTAAAAAATATATATAATAAATTTAAAGTAAATAAATTTAGTAAATAAATTATCAAATAATATTGCTTATAAAAGTATACTGTATATATGCTATATCCCTGTATATGCCGGCTGCTTTATAATAATACTTAGGTTGACTTAGGAGTGAGTATAAAAGTTTATAAGTATTCTGTTACTTCTTTCAAGTGAACTATCGAAATGAGATATAAATCTATATGGTTACAAGTAACAAGTTCAAGTAATTCAAGTTTTTTGTTTTGTAAGTCGCTCACTTTCTTCAAGATAAAACCCCATTATTTATAATCTGTATTCGTTATTCAATTCTGATGGTTAGTTGCTCGAATAATCGCCTTGGTCACTAATAGTCTCTGTTAGGGAGGTTACTACATGGTCTATAATTGACTCATCTAAATTAGTAGATGTGGAAGATTTTATATTACACTTAGAATTTTGCTGCCATAGGTCATTCCTTGTTCGACAGGATTATCTCTACTATTTTACTTATTATCGGTTTTCCCAACCTTTCTAAGAGGGGCGTTTTTACAGTAAAAGATACATCCTCTTTATGTTAAGGCGTGAGCGCCATTATAATTTGCACATTTTGTCTGTTCATCTTTTTCTTTAGGGCATAACTCCGTGGCATGATCTTCACCACATTTAACACATTTATGGCTAAAGGAATAAAGTTATTTATATGCCCGAATAATTGGCATCTGAAGCACTGGGCGATATTGCCGCTATTTTTTAAAATCCCACAGAGAGTGTAGAGTAGTCGATATTTCTTACGTTATATATACCTTCTTCAGGTTTATGTTATTTAACGAGGGCCAAAGGGTAGTGGAGCTATAAGCTTGTCGTAGCATCGCATACTGATGACTGCAAAAGGATAAAACCCTTGAATTTCCTGCTCTCGTTTGATATATTCCTCGTTTAGCTTTATAAGGACGCCACTCAACCATTTATCTCTTTTTCACCAAGTAGAACTGTAAGTTTTCTAAAGTCATTTTCGGAAAATAACATTATTCTAATTTTATGTATCGTATTTTTAGCGGAGTTAATACAAATGTTGTTAGCTTTAATTTGCGAGGAAAAAATTTTCAAATTGATACATCTCGAAGAATAATGGGAGGGGCTGGGTGTATTTTATTATTATCACTATTAATATTGCTATTAGTATTACTATATTATTGCGACTGTTATCTTTACTATTACTATTTTTATTATCACTGTTATTGATATTCTGATCTATACGTTTTCTTATGATCTGTATAATACTTATTCTAATTCATCTCTTTTTCTGTTCTGTGTTTGTCTGATGTGTTGTTTTGTAGTCCTTCTATATTTTTACTTTTCCTTAACATTTCTCATAATTAATAAGGTTGTATACGTTTATTAGTTAAAACTTATTCTTAGACACCACCCAGCCATCTTCATAGAATTGACGTTACTTTTTGGTGCATTACAACTTAACGAGGTACTAATAAATCATTAGTCTTATTTTTCTTAATGAGGTACTAATTATATCATTAGTCTTATTTTTCTTACCTTTAGTAATGTTCTGCTTAAAATTTTTTTATTTCATTAGTAAGGTTTGAGCTTACGGAATGTTAATATCCAAGAGTACCCTGGTCAGTATCCATAAGAGCTAGAAAAAATATTTTCAGTGGGAAGTTCATGACTAGCTGTTTTCTCTCTGTTATTTAAAAGCCTTGACCTGCGAAAGGTTCTCTTTATTTCGTAACTTTGCAATGAATTTGTTTGCAGGTCTCTAATAGTAGCTAGCAAATTAGCTACCAGTTCCTCGGGGCTATCTCTTTATAACTTAAAAACCCGGAGCATAAACTTTTTTTTTGAGTTGCTTCGGCTGAAACTACTTGCTAGTTACCCCTTAATTCCGTGTATTTATTTATTGTTATTTTCTGGCGCTCAAACGGGTCGTAAAAGAAACCGAATTTACGAGTTCTCAACAGTGTGACAGCGTACACCTTAGCTTTAAGCTTAGTGTTGAAGCAATCTCTACATATATATATTTATATATATCAAAAAAAATAATTCTACCCCTGTCATTTCATAAATTTAGAGCCCATCGCCTTGTCAGCAATGGCTTGTGCCATCTTAAATTTCGTAATTGGCCTCATCTGTCAGTATCGATTGGTGTGTGCTTGAGCTGTCTATAGGTGGCGATAGCATTAACTCTAAGAACATTGCCCAGAACTTCAAAATGGAGGTTTTGATGTAAGGCATCGTTATAAGTCATAAGAATAATGACGCCCGTCATAAGGTATAGTAGCTTGTTTAGTCTTATTTGAAGCAAAGAGGCTATCGGCTGTGAGTCGTAGGCGCTGGCAGTAGACGCGTATACCATGATTGGTCGGATACACGACACAATACAATCATCACTTCTTGTGCAACGATAGTTTGCTTCGGGAACAAAGTAAAGGGTAACCGCCGTGTTGCCCTTCGCCGCGATATAGTTTACGTTTAGCCACCACGAGAGCTTATTGTCATTAATGTACCCCTAGTCATTTTGTCTGAGGACACTGTGGTATTCAAAAGGAAATCGATAAACTAATCAAATTGTGTCACAATTATCAGTTTCTTTTTCTTAATTATATATATAAGGAAATTACA